ATGAACAAACAATAAAAATCCTCCCACTCAATCTTCTCTAGCTATCAATAGGACTCAAAACATGAATGACACCAATAATATCCACATACAAAAAGAAAATGGCATTCAGGTTTCATGAGGTTTATAAGATCAACAAAGCTACATTACATGTTCAACTATGTAACCAAATTGGTTGTCACGTGTGCAAACATGAATGACAGAACAGCATAAATCACAACCAACTCACTTTGACTCATTTACTCCTTTTTACCAAATTTAGCCAGCAGTATCTGGATGTTTCAGCTAACAAGAGGCAAATGACCTCCGGGGAAATTAGAAATGAAAAACCAAAGGCAGCTTAACATCTTAACCCAACAAAAGCCAATTAGCTACATACCAAATACCATCCATTAGCTTAACAAACCCAATACCAGGTTCCAACCACAATAATTAGCCTCAAAAGTTATTCACACATTGAAATACAAATATTGCAGATCAACAAAATCGCAAGTACCACAAAATGCACAAAACAGCAACAACTTAACTCGAAATTACACCTTTTTAACGACATATAATCAAACCCCACAATATATCTTTCTTCAAAATATCTTATTCATGTCTCTACTAATCAATCCCAGTTATAATCTGAAGTTCCATTTCAAAAGGCAAGACACACTACCAAAGTCCAACATCAATCCCAATTAAAAGCATCCATAAACGACAATCTTAGTTCAAACAAGAATGCTAGTAACCACAAAATGCACAAAAACAGCAACAATTGAACTCAAAATTACACCTTTTTAGCTACGTTTAATCAAACCCCACAAGATATTCCTTTGAAATCTCTAATTCACGTCTCCACTACTCTAACCCACCTCTAATTTAAAGTTCCCATATTTCAAAATGCAAAACTCACTAATAGAATCAAACAGCAATCCTCAACAACTACACTATTAGCTCAAACAAGAACGCAAGTAAACACAAAATGCACAGAAACAGCAACAATTGAACTCAAAATTACATCTTTTTAGCTACATTTAATCAAACCTAACAAAATATCCTCCTTCGAAATCTCTAATTTACGTCTCCACTCCTTAATCTCACCTCTAATCTAAAGTTCCCATATTTCAAAACGTAAACCCACTATTAGAATCAAACAGCAATCCCCAACAACTACACTATAAGCTCAAACAAGAATGCTATTTACTGCAAAATGCACAAAAACAGCAACAATTCAACTCAAAATTACATCTTTTTAGCTACATTTAATCAAACCCCACAAGATATATTTCTTCAAAACATCTAATTTCAAGTCTCAACTACTTAATCTAAAGTTCCCATATTTCAAAACACAAAAACCCACTACACAAAATCAAACAGCAATCCCCATAAAAAAACAACACTAATAACTCAAACAAGAATCCAACAAACTCACAGGTGACTTAACCACAATAGCTTCAGGCTGCAAACTAGCAGACCCAATTCTAGAATCAACACCAGGTATAGAAAATCGGTGGTAATCCTCAGGTGTAACAAAAGGTGGCCTCATAGAAGCAAAGGGTAAGTATCTTTTGATCGGATGAGAGATCTGACTCCTCCCTCCACCGTTTACAACGGCGGATGATGACTGAGCAGTGGGTGGCGCCGCCCCACCAGTGGATGCACTAGAACCTGTCATTTTTTCCCTAGTTTTGTAATCAAAAGATATACCCTTTGAACTCAAGATTTTTGGATTGTTGAAGAGAAGGGTTCTGAGGGGATGGGGTGGGGGTGGGGTAGGGGTAAAGGGGGTAGGGGGTAGGGGGGGGTAGGGGGTAAGGGTTTCTCTGTGAAAGGCAAAAAGGAGAAAACGAGGGAAGGGAGGGAATTTTGGTTTTTGTATATATGTGGAGGGAAGAGAAAATGTTAATGTTTTGTTTTTATTCATTTTGGTCCATATGAATACTTATTATTTGCAATTTGACCCTTCTATTGGTAAAAAATTTACTATTTTATTTTTATTTTTTTTTGGGCGATAAAATGACGGAGGTCAAAAATTAGGGTAGAAAGTTACGTCGAAGAAACATGATTCTAGTAGGTAGGGGTGGCGTTCGCCGTTCGTCGTTTGGCTCTTTGGTTTGCAGTTTTGAAAAAGTGTGGAGTGAATACCAAACCAAACTTAGTTCGATTCGGTTCGTTTTTTTCAATTAAAAATGATTTTTTCGATGAGAATGAAGAATAAATGAGGGTAAAAAAAAAAAGGTGTGAGATATATAAGAAAATTTAAAACTATGTTAAGTGATTGATGTTTCTCGTCAATATGGAACAGTTATTGTACTTAAATATTATGTCACGCCGCTGCTCGAGGAAGACAAGGACGAAGATGAGTTTTTTACGTAATGTATATCGATAAAAATATGTTTGAATTTCTCTATTTTTCAATATTTATGTTCACCCTAATAATAGGAGCAACTTTTTTTGTTTGCAGTTTTGAAAAAGTGTGCGCTGAATACCGAACCAAACTAGTTCAATTCAGTTTGTTTTTTTTCAATTTGTTTTTAAAAATGAATTTTTCGATGAGAATGAAGAATATAAAACGAGGGTAAAATTAAAAAAGTGTGAGATATTTAAGAATCTTTAAAACTATGTTAAATGATGACGTGTCTCGTCAATATGGAACAGTTATTGTACTTAATTATTGCGTCACTCTGCTGCGCGAGGAGGACAAGGATGAAAATGAGTTTCTTACGTAACGTACATTGATAAAACTACGTTTAAATTCCTCTATTTTTCAATATTTATGCCTATCCTAATAGTAGGAGCAACTTTTCTACTCCCATCTTATACTAATCACTACTATTAATCCTATATTTTCTTATAATCTTATTATTTTTGTTTTAGATACTTCTCTTTTTTGCATTTTTATTATCGTAGATTCTACAAAAAATATTTTTCTTTAGTTGAGGGTTTATCCGAAACCTATCTACCTTACATGAAATGAGAGTAAAGTTTGCTTATAATTTATCCTCCATAATCCATATGTCACATTTTTTAGGTCACACTGAATATATTGTTGTTGTTTCAAAAATAGAAGCTATAATTCATTTTCGATGCTACGAAATTTTAAGATTTATTACAATTTTAAAGGAGGATAAAATCGTTTCATTTCGAATGACATGAAGGGTTGTGTTGGTGCTCGACACACACGAAACAATATTTTTAAAAGAGTCCAAGCAACATAGCCAGAGTAGTATACACAGGCAGAAACCACAACATAGACAGTACAGCCTGTGAGATGATGAAGAGATAACCCAAAGAGTAGATCACTACATCCTGTTAAGTTTTATTTCATACGTCTAACGTAACGTAGAAAAAAGACAACTCGATGCACAAAGCATCCTGCATTCACGAAGGATCCGGGGAAGGGCTGGTATGATGCAGAATCAAGTTAAAATTTCACAGTAAGTAAGTCAGGAGATCACAACGCTACTCTCAAGTACTCACCAATCACCAATCAAAGACAATAACGTTATTGCTACAGAGAAACCAGAGAGGATTATAGTGCCAGTACTGAGAAAATCGTTAACTAAACAACAACCACAACATAAACGGTGGAATTCACAAGAGAGGTCTGAGGAAGGTAGAATGTACGCAGACCTTACCATTACCTCGTGGAGGTAGAGAGGTTGTTTCCAAAGGACCCTCGAAAAATCTTTAACTAAAACAAACACTAATCACATTATGAATATCAGTAGACAAGTCCTAGGCCAAATATAGCATATGTCAAGGCACACTGAACATCAGGTTAATGTACTCTCCAAATTGTATGATCATATCACAACTTACATCGACTATATGAAACAAGGACGGTATAATAAGCAATCGATGCATCAAAGTTCTAGCCTCTAGATGCTACAAATATTTAGAATGATCATTGATTCTTCAAGTTTCCTATGACGGTGCAACATTAGTAGGACCAAGAAGGCGGGGAATGATAGAAATCAATACGATTTTCAACACTGGTTCACCAAGTATACCAATAAATATCTATCAACTTGTTTGTCATCAACATAACCTCGTAGTTTTGTTATAGATATCTTACACTCGCTAACTGAATCTGCTTCTCACAGATGTAGAAGGCCAAGACTAGAGGAAAATGTTTTTTCTCCAATGACCAATATCAATGCAACTTTCTTCCTAATAGCAAAAGGATTTAATCAGAGAAATGTTGGAATGGCAAATGATGAATTGCCCCATTCTATTACATGGAAAAGTATATAAGATATCTACTTCACGATACTCATGAGAGAAGGGATGGATTGTAACGGAAAGCAACACATTTCCTAGCATCTTAACATCCTTACTCGCATTATCAGCAATTACTCCAAAATTTATCAAGGAATATCATGTATCTCGATTCCGTGCTTATTGTATTGCTAGTTTCTTACATGTACAATGATAATGCAGTTCACACACTGCTGCATACCAAGCAGAAACACAACAAACGAGCAAATTTAATCGAACTGGAACACCATCAGCCATACAAAAACTCTCCCCTTTTTACTTACCACATAGTCAATTAACTTGATTCTACGGTATAGTGATTAGCACTCTGGACTTTGCATTCAGCAACCTGTGTTCGACTCATATTAGGAACGACTTTATCAATCAATACTTCACTTATCACATATTCAAGCAAGCCACATTAGGTACCGCAACTTCAATGCATACAAACTAGTTTTTACACGTATAATGGTATCAAATATCCAAATGGATACTCGCATACAGATAGTGCAGTACACACACTGCTGCATATTAGAAAGCAGAAACACAACAGAAAAGCAAATTTAATCAAACTGGAACATCATCGGCCATACAAAAAATCTCTCCCTTTTGCTTACTTACATAGTCAATTAACTTGACTCCACAGTATAGTGATTAGCACTCTGGACTTTGCATTCAACAACCTGTGTTCGACTCATATTAGGAACAACCTTATCAATCAACACTTTACTTATCACATATTCAAGCAAGCCACATTAGGTACCGCAACTTCAACGCATTCAAAAAAATCTAGTTTTTACATGTACAATGGCATCAAATATCCAAATGAATACTCGCAGACGGATAGTGAAGTACACACACTGCTGCATATTATTAGCAAGCAGAAACACCACAAACAAGCAAATTTAACCAAACTGGAATGCCATCAGCCATACACAAAATCGCCCCCTTTTGCTTACCACATAGTCAATAAACTCGACTCAACAGTATAGTCTGGACTCCACATTCAGCAACCTGTGTTCGACTTATATTAGGAACGACCTTATCAATCAATACTTCACTTACCACATATTCAAGCAAGCAAATTAGTTACCGCAACTTAAATGCATCGAGACTAGCATATAACAATTACGTTTTGATCGCAAGCAAGTTGAGATCAGCTGTGAATCCTCACTTACCATGTAGGTAACAAGATTCTATAGCATCAGGAAACAAGTAATGATCATCAAAATATATTTTTTATAAACAAAATGGGGGCAATATGGTCAAGTTCAATCTATGTTTACATTATATGATCAAAATTTGTACACCAAAAGGGAGATTGTCTCACCGGCATAGACGAGCTACAACAAACTTCCAACCTATCACGAAATCGCGATTCGTGGGACTTCAACATCACAGGCAATGACAAGCACACACCTTTCTCAACACACATCTTGTGCCTTGGCTTTATCCTATTCTCTAAACTAAACGAGAAATACTGAGGAAACACAATCAATTCCTTCAACTCCCTTCCCATTTCCACCACAAAGTAATCGAATTTCGGCTCCAAATTCTCCTCTATACTGTAACAAAACAATGAAGGAAACCTCCTAAACATCACCTTTGCATCTCTCCTCGAAAACCCAATTCTCTGTAAGTAATCCAATCGAGGCATAAACTTAGTCTCCACTGAACAAGATAGCAAAGTCGCACATTTCGAAACATCTTCAATACCAATAGTACTCTGTAAGAAGTAAAGGGTCGGTCGGAGATTCTTTTCTACACACTTTGTGAGTAGCCGGGGTCGTCTACGGAGAACACCCGGAAGTTTTTCTCCGGTGACAAGAGCTTCCCGGAGTAAAAAAGTGACGGCGGGACGGAGGGTGGTTGAAATTCCGGCGGTTAAAATATCTGGGCACATGTGTAAAACTCTCCGAACATCAAGTATGGTGAGATTAACAGAGTAAAGGAAGTCAATAACCGATTTGAGGTCAGATAAAGAGGAAGAGACAATAAGGGGTTGTGAAGAAAGGCAATGTAAAGAGTCTACACCAAGTGAATCCAAAAAAAGAAGCTTTTCTTGAAGATGGAAGTTTTGGGGTGTGGGTGTGGGTGGGGTAGTGGAGATAAGGGTGGGTGGTTTTGGGTGTTGAGGGTATGAAATAGTGGAGGATTTGAAGGATTTGGGAGGAGAAATGGAGGATTTAGGAAGTGAAAAAGAGGAAGAAGATGAAAAATGGAGAGTTTCTTGCATGGTGAGTTCACTCACATGGTGATTTTCTGGTTGTTTGAGATGAAAAAATGGAGGATTTTGGGGTGGGGTGGGGTGGGGTGGGCGTGGGGGAGGGAATTTGTATCAGTGGTGAGGAAGATGGAAAGGGATAAGGGGATGATGTGAGTGAGATGACATTTCTTGGATATGTTTTCCTTTGTGTGTTATCTTTGAAAGTTTCTTTCAAATAGGGTTTAACGAGCTATCGAAAATAACATTTTTACCTATCTGATTTTATGATAAGATTCGTGAAAATAAATATCACTGTGTGGAATTACACTAAAGTTATTGTTGTTGTTGGTTTAGAAAGAAGAATGAGGGACAATTGCTTGGATTAAGGTTGTGTATTGATCGGTTCAGTTTGATTCGATTTTAAAGTTTATCGATTTGATATATTGATTATCGGTTTATAGACAGACTAAATCGTTATAAAATCAATAAGATTACTCTAAATTTATAGTTGTTGGTTTAGAAAGAAGAACGGGGGGCAATTGCTTGGATCAGGATTGCGTATTGGTTCAATTTAATTCGATTTTGAAGTTTATTGATTTGACCTATTGGATATCGGTTTATAGACAGCTAAATCGTTATAGAACCAATAAGATGTCACTTTATAGATGATAAGTTTATCGTTTATTGAACTTTATCGATTCAGTTATTGGTTAAGGTGTTAAGATTTGACACAAAAAAATTATATTAAGAATCACTTAAAAACAAGGTGACAAACCAAATAAACCGTGCACATGAAATGATAGATTGCATCTTGCTCAAAAGTATTATTGAAAATCACTTAGAAACATGTAACAAACTGAATGAACCATGCACACGAGTTGACAAATTGCATCTTGTTCAAAAATAAGCCCTGATATATTATAGAATAATTGAGAGTTTGAAAAGGTCAAAAATAAAAGTTTTGAGTCAAAAACTTTATACATATTTATTAATTTACTATAGCATACTTTTAACATGTTAAGAAAAAATATCAAACTGTTAAAAATTGACAATTCAAATAATAAAATATACTAAAATCGTTATCGAGACCGCTAAGTCAACCATTGTCAATAAATCAATTTAAAAAATTGATTCAATTTTTAACATCATAAATTGAATAATGTATATTTGACCCAATGGGCTAAGATAGGCCCAATTATATTACACCCGATGACATTGAAAATAGATAGTCTTAAATTTTGGGGGGGGGGGGGATTTTATAAATGATAAAAGAGAATAAATTTAATATATTTCGCTTGTTAAATATACAAATAGGATAATTATATATAAATTTTGTATTTATGCAGTTAGGATTTACCAAAACTTATAGAAATCAGACGTATCAACAAATCATTTACAAACAAGATAATTATATACAAATTCAAAATTTATACAATTGTGAACTTTTCATAACACATACAAATCAAATGCATCAACAAATTGTATATAATAGGGCAAATATATACAAATTATGAATTTATATAATTAAGATTCTCCCATAATTAATTCAAATCAAACGTACCAACAAATCAGATATATTCTGAATAAGTATGTACAAGTTATATATTTTTACGCTTAGAATTTTTGTATAACTTATACAGATCATATGTATCAACAAGTCTCTCTCTCACACACACACATATATATATATTGCATAATATATATATATATATATATATATATATATATATATATATATATATATATTATGCAAAAAATATTTGATGAATATAAAAGAATCTAATGTGTATAAATGTGTATATATCCTCCCCGGTAGACAAAAAATAATAATAATTAAATGTATATATTTGTAAAACAAATTAAAATCTAAAAATGGTGTGTAAATTATTCCGTAATGTTATAAAAAATGAATTTATCAGAATATACAAATTAATTCACAGAAATTACCACGATTCTTTCCCATGTTGTTCATCTTTTTGAAAGCTATTAGTTTCAGATTTCGAGTCTTTTAAAGGATTTAAGGTTATAAATAATTTTTTTTGTATATTTTTAAATGTTTTACATTGTTAATTATTTTAAAGTAATGCATTTTACGTAATTTATAAATATATAAATTTTATTTTAAGTAAAAATTTTATATTTAAATTCTCGATCAAAATTAAATATGTTGACTCTTTGAAAATTAAAATGTGTCATATAAATCAAGATAAATAGAGTGTAATTTATCCAAACACAATACAATGTTATTAGTCTCACTTTTCACTTTATCACGGAAAAGAGTCAATCGATAATTATAGCAAAATTTTATTTATTTCTAAAAAATTATGTCTTGTCAAACAATAGCACATAAAGTGAAACGAAGAAAATATTTATTTTTTCTTTGATATATTCTCTGAGAAGAAGTAAAAGTAATGAAAAAAGTATATTCATTCTTCATCATATTCTGCATGGGTACAAAGTCGCCTTTTGAGAGAGCTTTATAGTTTTACCCTAGGGTGGACGTTCAATATTTCATTCGGATTTCTCAAATTTCGAATTTGATAATTCGATAATTGATAGTTAAAAGTAAATATCAAAAATTTAAATTTCGATTCAGTAAACAGTAAATTAAATTTTTATTTGGTTCGATGTTCGATAATACCATATTAAAGTTATAGTCGATTATATTACAAAGATAATAGTAATTTTCCAATAATTTGCTTTTCACGAAATATCGAATACTGAATATTAAATGATACTAACGTCTCATACTGCACACAAACCAGAATACCATGATACGAAAATTTTACTCTCGAATACCATACTAAATATCGAATTATCGAATACCAAATGGTACTAATGTCTCATATCAAACACAAACACGAACACCATAATATTAAAATTTAACTATCGAATATCATACTAAATATCGAATTACCGAATACCAAATGATACTAGCCTCTCATAGCGAACACAAACCAGAACACCTTAATACGAAAATGTTACTCTCGAATACCATTCTAAATATCGAATTACCGAATACCAAATTATCACAAAATTTGATTCGATAACTTAGTTTTCGGTATTTTAAACTATCCCTAACTTATCCCAAATACGAAATTTCTCGATACGAATTCGGATTTAATCGGACTTCATTTGTGGGACACGAAAACCAAAAAGAAAAAAAGAAAGGGAGGGTATATATATCCATTTTCAGTCTATCACTCTTTTGTCACACACAAATTCTACTGCTACTGTTTCTTCCTCCATTTTTCAATGGCTTCCATTGTTACTTCTACTGCTCTTCTTTCTTCATCAAACCCTAGGGTTTTTGCTTCTGCTTCTGCTTCTTCTGCTTTGCCCAAATTGCCTTCGTTTTCTCAGTCGACAATTGTTCCTTCTTCTTCATCTTTCAATGGACTCCGCAGCTGCAACACTTCAGTTTCTCGTATCAACAAATCCCGATCCTTCGTCGTTCGTGCCTCTGTAAGCTTACATCTGAAACCCCTTTTGTTTGCATATTTGTTTTGAGTAGTTTAATGGGAAAAAGTTAGGTATGATCGATCAATTGAGCTACTAAGATTTTTCCGTTTGTTTATGATTAGTTATCTCTAGCATTTCCCAGTTTTTTTTTTGTTATTGTATGAGTGAATCTACATTCAGGGTTTTGAATCTGCATTTACGAGGTAGGGTAAGGTCCGTGTACACTCGGGATAGACTCTAATTTTGGTATGATTGCTGCTTGGGTGTATGGGATAGGCAACTTGTGATTTGTGCATTAGGTGCAAGAGCTTGGGGATTACTGGTTATTGTAAAGATTGTTTTTTTTTTTGGTATAGTGGAGTTGAGTATTGGAGTTCAATGTGGTTTCGTTTTATTTGCGATATAAAATCTTCTATGTGCGTATCACAAGTGTGTTCATATGTCAAATATTAAGATTATGCTTCTATATATCATGTTATCAGTTTGTTTTCAAAAGTTCTTAGTGCTTGAAGTATTTGTTTTGGATATACTGAACTGAACTGTAGTTGGATTTCTGTGCTATTTTTCGTGCTTTTATAGGACATATTTAGTGAAATAAGTCTCCTTAATTGGCAATATAGAATTCTCTGCACTTGGATCCTACTTGCACAGATTCACAACAGAACTATATCTTATGTACAGGGTGAATTAGTTACATCCTGGCTCTGCAGGTTTAGTCTTTTTGAAAAGGGTCGAGAGATTACATAACGTTGAGTCTTCACCTCTCCCTTGCCTCGCAAGAACGTTATTAAACTAGAAGAAAACAAATTCTAGGCATGTCTTTCTAAATGAAAGATGTTAGATCACTTAGATAACTAATTAGACATAATCCAATCAACTATTGGTGTTTTAGATAAATATTAAAATCTTCATGTGTGTCTGTACTTTTATATGATAAAAATAGATAAACTACTTTAGAAGACCAAGTTAAATAAACACACTCCTATTTCCTATTGTAGAGTGTTGAAATCCCATTTACCCAACAATTTGTTTTTTGCTTTACTTTGTATAAAGGTGTATTTCCTTGTTTCTGGATAGTGATTCATCTCTTTAATGTCATTTCTTGTTACTTCTCCCAACAGAGTGAAGTCCCTCTTGTTGGAAATAAAGCACCAGATTTTGAGGCTGAGGCTGTTTTTGATCAAGAGTTCATCAAGGTAATATATTGGTGTTAAATGAATAAACAGTGTTAAATTATTAATTGTTAGTCCAAGATCCTCCCCTCTGTGTGTGTATGTGTCTATGTGCATGTGTTTCGCTTTTCTGCTTATCAAATTAAGAGGTTTCACCTTTTTTTCTTTTCGACTTCCTCCTTTTTCATTCATTATAAGGACCTGCCACTTCTTCATTAAAGGAGAAAAAGAATTATCCGCGATGCTGCAAAAGTTTGTATCTTGCTGTTAGGACATCTTCTATTAATGAACACCTTATTCTTTTGATTGACAAAAGAGTAAAGATTACTTCATGAAGGCATTTTACTTGTTAGCTAACCTTTTTGTACAGCAATTAGTGAAGGAATTAGGATATGGAAAGAACAGAGTGCAGCAGAACTTCAATATACAAAGTTTTCTTTGTGCATTTTAGGTTTATTTTAGACTTTGAAACAATGTTTTCCTCAACTAGAACTGCTCTTTTCCTTCCTTCATCCCTTAAATAACTGCAAGGCGTTCCTTTAAACATCCAGTCACTTTGGGTGGTTTTCTTGGGCTATTTATAATTGAAGTATATTTTCTCTGCAGGTCAAACTTTCTGAGTATATTGGGAAGAAATACGTGATTCTCTTTTTCTACCCTCTGGACTTCACTTTTGTTTGCCCGACAGGTCCGCTTGTCCCTAATATCACTCAGCTTCTAGCTTCAATTATAATATATTTAACTGATTATGGTGATTTCTTAATGTATTGTTTTGATATAATCTTTCCTTCTACTGTAGAGATTACTGCTTTCAGCGATCGTTATGAAGAATTTAAGAACGTGAACACAGAAATACTGGGTGTCTCGATAGACAGTGTGGTATGTCTTTCTTCCGTTCAAAATTTTCCTGTAGTAGTTGATTTGTTACTTGGGAAGCGTACCTAAATGGTCTGTGCCTTGTTGCATTGTGCTGCTGCTTCTACAGCCCCTTTCACTTATTTAGAAAAGCCGTTTTCACTTGTTTTGAACTTTGTGCACTGTGCTCTTAGATGAAGAAGTGACTTAAAATTAGCTTTAGAGATTTTCGAGGGTATATATAAATAGTTGGGGAAACAGTTGAATAAAGATAAACATGAAAACTATATATTGAACTAGAGGCGACAAGTGAAATGTCAACTGGGCACATTACAAAAGAAATTGTAGTTGGAAAAAAAGTATCATCTTGACTAAGGAAGTGAATGCATATGTGAAAGATCAAAATAAGGGCATCCCGGTGCACTAAGATCCTGCTACGCGCGGGGTGGAGAGAAGGGGCGGACCATAAGGGTGTATTGTATACAACCTTACCATGCATTTCTGCAAGAGGCTGTTTCCCTAGTGGTAAGATTGCAAAGTGTGATGTGTGGATAGGCGAATATTAAGAATTCGAATGCTAATGCAAACAAATTCTGATGTTTTAGTGGAGAAGGGTTGAGGGACAGGCTCATTATCACTGAATTTGAACCATGTGCTAGCTGACCATTGGGGGTATCTCGGTTGTTTGAAAAAACAAGAAGAATAAGTGAATAAAAGTAATTTAGTTAGCAATACTAATAGGATTTACTTATAGATCAAGATATCACGTATGCTAGAAGAATGGGCTTAGTACAAGGCACAAGTTAATAACAGTTATTCAATTGTACTGATTTTTTTCATTGGTCATGTTAGCATAATTTTTCCCAACATTGTTGATCTCATGTATTCTTGTAGTTCTCTCACCTTGCCTGGGTCCAAACTGATAGGAAGACTGGTGGTCTTGGTGATCTGAATTATCCATTAATTTCAGATGTGACAAAGTCAATTTCAAAATCTTACAATGTGCTGATACCGGATCAGGTATGATTGTTGCTGTTTCATACTGCATAGGTAGCTTTTAGAATTATTTGTTGATATTTTTCTGGCATATGCCTCTCATTAGTTGTCTACGTTTTTAAATTACGAGATAAACAAGTGAGAAATTTTGTAGTTTGGGGAGAGTACTTTAGATGCAGTGACACAAGCAATCAAGCACATAAACATGTTGCATAAGTGCTTTAGGTTGGATTTGTGTGTACTTTTCTCCATTTCATTCGACTACAGACAGTTTTTTTTGTTGCTATTATCACCTTAGATTCCGTTCAACCTCATAACCATGAATTTCATAGCTGTCAACCATGGTCTTTATGATTTATTCCGAGACTGAACGGGAAGCACCTTTATCATTTGAAGCGGAATCAGCTCCCTGATTTTTTTTTGTTATGTTGTTTTAGGGAATTGCGTTGAGAGGACTGTTTATCATTGACAAGGAAGGAGTTATTCAACACTCCACCATTAATAACCTTGCAATTGGTCGAAGCGTTGATGAAACACTGAGAACACTTCAGGTAATAAACACATCGCGACCCCAATATCATCACTATCATTAGACTATCTGCTGCTTAGATCGTAAATAACTATTTTGGTCTTTCGCGATAGGCATTGCAATATGTTCAGGAGAACCCAGATGAGGTATGCCCAGCCGGGTGGAAGCCTGGTGACAAGTCAATGAAACCAGATCCTAAAGGCAGCAAAGAATACTTTGCATCCATATAAGTCGATGAGATGATGGCTGCAGTATGTCTATTTGTTTGTTGTTAAGTGAGATCGTAGAGTTCTGTAACTTTTTTCTCTCGACCTACCTGCTTCGAGTTTTGAGCATTTTTCTGAATATTGTATGACCAAATCTTTCTACATATTCTGAACTTAGATCATAGATTGATAATGACAGCTTGTAAAAGGATGGTTCTTAAAACTTCTATGTTTGAAATTAGTCACTTGTGTCAAGATTCAAGTGTGTTTTGTATGTGAATTGTGACAGTTGATTGAGTCTTTTTGTCTCAGCCTTAGTGGACACATACATTAGCAACTTGTGCATACAAGACCGACTTGATGAATTAGTTATAGTCGAGGTGTGCACAAACTGGTTGATACTATGTACAAAAGATATATTACAACTTTTACACCTTTGCTTCTTTTTCTCAATAGATGTACTGTAAAGTTCATGTTACAATTTCACTATAACATCAGCTACAAATGAAGTCTTGAAGGTGTATTTCTTCCCATACAAACATGTCAATGGGAGGAAAACAAGAATCATAATGAAAAATGCGTTGACAACTACACGAACAGCAACGTTGTGCTCTACCATATAAGTATAAGAATCGTACACCATAGGGGAGACCTATCAATGATGTTGAAGACGATCAAGATTCAATGGAACATACACCATAGGGGAGACCTATCAATGATGTTGAAGACGATCAAGATTCAATGGAACTAATCATACACCATAGGGGAGACCTATCAATGATGTTGAAGACGATCAAGATTCACTGAAACTTATTGTCGATGTTACATGGGAAGATTACATAATCGACTTTTTCTCATGGTACATTAGCAAGCAATCGACATCCAAGTATATATTGAACCACAGGGTCACTAGTGATGTAGGCTTGTTTCATTCTAGTCTTGGAACAACAATCAACAGTAATGAACCTAACAATTCAATAGATTTCAAGCATCTCAGAAGTCAGATGTCAAATCTTACCAGAAAACACCTCAGTTTCTTCAAAGGGTAAATCTTTTTACCATTCTGAATCGACCCTTTCAAGCTCTTCTGCGTTTTTGAACA